CCTGACCGAGGAGGACCGATGTGAGACCTTATTAAGTTTCTCTACTCCAAGTATTCCAATCATGGTTACCGATTACCGTTGACAGAGCAGTGGACCTTTGAGGCTATACCACTTCTATTGAACTCATGCACAAGCTCAAAAATGAAACGTTTTCTTCAGCATTCGGACGAACACTCCGAGTTTTGTTCCGTGATTTTATGTAAAATGTGAAAAGAGGCAAGTATGAGGGAGCTTTAAATAAGCTCGTGTAATTACAGGCATATTTTTGCTGCTATAACAGCCCAACACACAGTGTCAGAAAGAGCTCGCAAATGTGACCCTGGGAAGTGGAGTGGAGAACTACGTACGGCTTCAACACAGGCCAGGTCAATTCAAGGCTGCGGCGGAGAAGTGATCACTGTCACAGCTCACGGAGGGTGACCGGGTTCCTCAGAGACCTCGCTCTCTGTCTCTCTCTCTCTCTCCCTCCCTCCCTCTACCAGGTCCGGTTGCAACAGTCGGTTCTCAAGAACACCCATAGTTCCTCATCAGAGAAGCACAGACAACGTGTTTAAATTACTTCACAATTGAATAAGTTCAACTGGAACACATGGTATGCAGATCAAAATGATGGGATACTTTTAGTACACGCGTTTTTTGACCAGAACATGTGGGATACAGTAGGACACTGATGCAATAGCAACCAGCACATGTGATTAGCACTACAAAGTGATCAGTATTTACACACAGCACTGATTGCAGGGGTCACGGCAACTTCCTAACGGCAAAATACAACATGAAATGCCATGTGTGAAGCTATAATTTCTTTTACCTTCAACGGAAGGCTACTGTCCCAAGTTCATGTCGCAAATACCCCCTGACGGTGTGAAGTCAAAACACGACTGCGTGCACAGTTAGAAGTCTATTGGAAGTTAATCAACTGTAAGGCTGTGGTAAAACTTTGGCTGATTGGAGATCACACTTCTCTCTCCCTCTCTGTGTCATTTTGGAGTGAAGTCGTGTTGCGGTGACTGGACCACTGAGGCAAATCAGTATGTGAATGAAGCGTGCGTGCCATGCTGGGTGGGATAGCGTTTGTTGTTGGTGGTACAGCTTGAGATGTACCTGTGTGTTTTTCGAGTTACTGGTTTTCAACATAATCTAAGCAGATACACAGGATAACTAAAACGAAACCAGTAAAACATTACTGTGATACTCGGCTCGTCCCAGAACTAATGAGGCCACAACGTTTCACTTTCACACTTATTGGCAATGCATTGATTCATATATGATTGGTAGTCAATGCACTGGTCAATCGCCATGCTACTCGGTCACATGTGAAGTGGTCTGATTATCCAGTACCGGATGCATGTCATTCGTTGAGGCTTATCCTGAATCTATGGAGCATCTTATCGTGTACAGCCTCCGCGTTCGAACTACCATAAAGGTGTGATGCGTATCATAACTTAAAGATCTTTACCACGTGAAAAGGACAAGGTACGTTGGAAGAGAAGAAACATAGCGTCACTAATCCAGTTTCCGGTCAATCATCAACTGTTTCCGTTGCGTTAGGCTGTTTTACACCGAGACCCATCTCTTGGCGATGTTGGTCAACAGTCAGACGTGCTTATCACGGGTACCATTTTTCCCAACCTAAGTAGGTCTAACCACAATTAGGCGCGGGAAAATTATTTTTTCGTCGAAGGCATTCAGATGCTGAAATTTGACGGTTTCCGCCGGATTCGAATACGCACAAATACACTATCTATGCTTATGGTAATAATAATAATAATAATAATAATACTGTCCCACTTCCTCTTCATCTATAATTCAGAAATGGTGCGCTATTTCAGGAAACGGTTCACGGTAGGTCAGAGTTGTTTGGAAGGGAAGTGACCGGCAGTGACATTTTGCCAATGTTTCACACCTCCGCGTTCATCACTCACTCTCCCTAATGGTTACTGCTTTGGGCACCAATAGTACCCTCCGGTCAGTGTAGATATTTCGAGTCGGTTTTCGGTTTGTTACAATAGGCAGTGTCTAGTACCAGTCACTCGCAACAATCCGTTGGTAGCATTTATTAGGAAATATATTTCACTCCTCGAATCTGATAGCTTTCCGTGATTTTATTTTATTTAGTCGATTTGGACGAAGAAAATGCAAAATTCCGCACATAGTGCTTCTCTGACCAACAGAAAAATCAAACGGATTTGCAATTTTCTCTCTCTCTCTCTCTCTCTCTCTCTCTCTCTCTCTCTCTCTCTCCTGACAGCTGTTCCCAGTCACACATTCATCCGAACTAATTCACACAACCAAGTGTCATTTCCCTTCCATCCACTGCCCGTTAGTGAGACGGAGCAACTCTATATTTCGCCGAACTTCTATTCGACCATCTACGAACCTGCGAGAAGGACGGGGAGTACGCGCTAAGTGCAACGAAAGCCATCACATCAGTAATTAGGATGGTGGGAATCGGAATGACAGGCGCATTTCGCAGTTCATTCATCTTTAACTGGATCCACTGGCGATTTTCCCTCGTTTTGCAGCGTGCCTAATCCTTGAGGAAATTGTTTAGGATGCAAAGTGGTGAAGGTAAAATGCGGCATTCTGTGCAGAGGCTTTCACACGGCCCCAGGCCTCTGTAGGAAGGCAAATTTCCAGCTCTAATTCACCCCTATTTGAGGACACGAAGATCATTCGAGTTAATTCTTCAAATTCCAATCAGTTTGTAATGGTTTCTTCAGATCAATTAGTGTCGATGAGACGAATGGGGCTGCACAGAACCCGACACTAGATTATAACACAGCATTCTGTGAACGATTGAAGGCTACCGATCCTACTTATGGGGTTAAATTGAATGGTGAATTTACAAAAAATCCAACTTCTTCAGTCACGTTGGAAAGAGGCAAGCGAACCAGAGCGAGCAGTCTGTCATGCAAAAGCAGATTTAGACACGTTTAGAAACATGTACGTGTTGGAGGAAAAATCTGACGGGGGACTTCAAAATGAAATAGGATCGGTTGTCTGACCGGGATTGGTCCGAGACTATTGTTCCCCATCAGTAAGGGTTGTCTAAACTATATTTTTCGTCCCCAATATGCTTAGGTTCGAAGCTGTTGACACCTTTATTCTCCATCGTATGGACGTTTACGCACCACAGAAGCTGAGAATAATTTCCCTTCTCACCTTGCTTCTGATAGGGTTCAATAGGTAGTGGCTTTTCCTGAGGGAAAATCACTATGTCACCGTGAAAGAACGTTGCGCAATAACTTCTATGTAGAATGGCTTATCACAATGTTGAATACAGACGGATTTATATGTGCACGAGGTTTTACCGAAAATTCCTCAATAGGGAATCAAAACATCCATCCGAGTTCCTTACAATTCAATAAAACCCTTCTCCCTTCGCGAAAAGAATACGGGGTATAGTAAAAATCCCGTTTTTCTGACGAGAAGCAAATGCTAATCTCTGGAACAGAGCTTGTCTACTAGTTCATTTTATATCATTTAGTGTGTATCGGTGGTGTCCAGATGATAATTATGATGGGCTATAGACCATTCTGTCCCAAATCCGAGTCCTGCCACCGTCGCCGGTAACTTTCCTTCATTGACGACCTCTGCTTGGCTGGCACTCCCTTCCTGAGTTATTGCACGGTTATTACGTAATATAACGGAAATGAATGAAGAAATAATTGGAAAACAAGAATAAATCATCAAAGATGAAGTTCCAACAATTTCAGTGGTCTCAGAATGCGATTTTCTCATAGAGGATGCCCAACCCTTTGAAGAGTTGTTCTTTCTCATCGGGAACAAACAACTTTGTGTCTCCTGTTTCTGTTGCTGCCAGAAACTAAGGGGAAAGGACGAATCCAAAAGGAACAAAAAATTTTGCCGGTAAAAGACACTTTGATCTGCCCCAAAATGCAACAAGAATGCGATTGTTCAGACTGTTTGTAAAACCCCCTCGCGTGTAAATAGTGTCACAAGCTGTCATTAAGCTCGCACGTATGATCTCACATCAGCTGGTGCAGAAAGTTCCGTGGTCACAAGACCAAGCAGAGCGATTAGCTACTGTTCCAGATCAGCAACCTAAGCTATGAGCATCACGGCTGTTCACAGTGATTGAACTACGCTTTGGGCGTACAGCCCTCTTAGTAAAGAATAATTTACACAACATTACCAACATAAAATTTTTATCACGCAACAGATCTTCGCCGAGAAGGCCACAGACAGACCGTGAACGGCATTACGCGATTCCAAGTCGCATTGACAATCCGTAAATGCAAGACTACTGCGGACCACCTACTGCCTATTTGACTGTTTTAAATTTGTTCGTTCACGGAAACAGTCTGCAGTGTCAAGACTATCCAAAATGAGATCATACTAGACTCAAAACAGGTAATGGAATGCGATAACTGTCTACTGTACAAAATACGGCATTTTTTATAGACAGAAGTGGCCTGCAAACAGCAGCTGAGTCACAAGTAATGTGATTAGCTAACGTGTATTTCCCGAATGCCGTTACGTGATGTGTGATAATGCGTGGCCCATGATGGGTATACACACTGAGCCAAATGAACTGTGATTGGTCTAGATGGAATTTATCATGTAAGTGTGACTTCAATATAAAATCACAGAAGTCCTATATCAATTCGTCAGGTCAGGCGATTATCCAAGTTCCGTGAGATGGGCTGACCACTCGTCTGACTGCTGATTGTTTATAACACTAGAAAATAGTCCAACTTTCCAAAGCATATTCATTGAGATTTTGTCACCCATTACCAAGTCTAACTTATTGAGACCTCATGTGGTTTCCCACTCTACTTCGCAGAGCCAGATTGCCGATTGTGCCTAATGGCGCAGAGGGCCATCGAGGCTATGGAGTATACCCCTTCCAGTGCACTCATGTCCAAGCATGTAATAAAAAGAATATTTATTTTAACTCGAGTTATTTCCCCCTCGGAATGTACTTTTCACAGGTTGAGTAACCCCTCGATAATGCACCGCTGTGTTTCGTACAGGTATGAGACAAATGCAGTCGATCGTCTCGCTCAATCAGCTGCACACTCGTGGACCGCAGCAGCACTGTTCATTTGTACCGGAAAAGTTGCACGCTTTCGGATTGGGTCGTAGTGGTGTGGGCATAAGCGCCGGTCGGACACCGATACGTCGCGCGTTTCGCTCACCCGTGTTCTGGCATGCGATCACTCTGGAAATTCCAATCAGCCTGTCTGAATCGTGCAGTTCCGGGCACGTCACAACACAACATTACGGCTCTCCTTTGTCCTGTGCCGTACGTAATCCTGCTCGTACCCAGCTGGAGCTGCGATTGGATTTGAAGGAACAGAACGCGTTGCCCACGGACGGGCTATACAGCAGTTCGCCCAGTTTGACCTTGCTTCCACCGTGGAAGAATTCCCAAGTGCTCGGCTCGGTTCGAATTCCGTTAACTCAACGGATTTGGGACTATTTCCTGCACAATTCGGAGGAGGTTCTCACACCGGATGAAACCCTGTCAAATCAAGCCACGGCTGATAGATCTGAGACACCGGGGAGCGGGGGAGAGACCGCCGTCGAACTGAAACCTCGCGTGTTACGTTTTGTACGTAGACTGGAAGTCCCGTTTCAGGTAATTTATTTCATTTTCTTATTCCTTTTTGTCAGCTCGAAATACAGTATCGATTTTGTACAGGTGAAACAGGTTTGAGAACTTCATCAGAACGGGAATATCTGACCTTCAGCTGTCTGTGACTGTCGGGTCTGAGGTGAGAGGTTCGATCCTCACCAGTCAATTCCGGTGATGAAACACCACTTAGCTTAGACCTGAATGAATTTGACATCTGACTTATTCCAGTCTTAGGAAGTTCTCCATTCTTAGCATAAGGTTCGTGGTTGTAGGATACTTCCTGATGGTAAAACGCGTCTTTTGACTGCACCCATACATAGTAATGACATAAAAGAATTCTGCAATTAACGAGCGGTAAGTTCGATCTCTTCCCAATGAGAAGTGGAGAATGTCCAACGAGGTTCATGTACATACCCTCGGTCCGAATTTCTGGAGCCCTGTGTGACTCTACGATCCCAGTTTCGAAGCGACGAAGCTCACTGATGACGAGAAAACCTGTAATAAAGGGGTTGCCGGCGCTGTGTATGCTTTCCTATTGTGGATATAACACTAACAACATGACTTTTAAATGAGTATGGGATTGTTGTGGTGCCTTTTTCGAGTCTTTCAAACTGTTTCTTTAACAACTTTTATAACAAACTTTGCTATTTTCTTACCTGAGCCATCATTATCCTTCAGGCTATACTTTCTGGGAATAAAAGACATTGAATGTCACAAGTATACGCTCGATCGATACGCTGTCCGCTAACCTCACTCATTCAGACTTTGCGTGTACACTGACAGTAATTCTTATTGGTTGTTGTCATTCCAGACGTCTTCTCACTTTGTCCCTCACAGAGTTTCACATATATGTACTCACCGCAGTTAGTCACGATTCGAACACAGCAGTTGTTCTACTAGTTACTCTTACGTACGTTTGCTTAACGACACAAGTGTGATTCGCAATCGCACGGATGCCTGGACTGTGATTTCACAAATCTAAATAAATATAATGAACGAGTAGATGCGCCAATCGTTCCACAGCCACAGATCTCTCTCTCTTTCTTTCTTTCTTTCTTTCTCTCTCTCTCTCTCTCTCTCTCTCTCGTGAGAGGTAACCAGGTATATTGTGTCAAACATTTGAGACTCTTGTCCTGGGATAGCAAACGTAGCAGCATTTCCTTTATGGTACTGGGTCCACTGTCAATTGTGTTTTACGCAGGTTCGCTAACGAAATCGGTACCGGTTCTCATTCTGTTTTTCCTTAGACGTGCACATAATAGACTTGTTTTCGTTTTTAGAAGTTAGCTGGGAACAGATGAACCAAATAGCATCAAACTGTTCTGCGGTCACACGCACACAGGCAGGCACGCACGCATTCACGCGTGCATGCGACGGGAGGACTCTGTTTGATCCTCTCTCAAAGGCACAGATACGCACACGTACACACACACACACACACACACACACACACACGAAGCCGGTATTACTCATACTTCAGCCCTGAATGTGTTGGTCAGTCAGATCTCGGATCGGTCAGCGTTGTTTGGCCGCAGTCGAATGGACTCGCGGCTTACGCTTGCTCAAGCGTGTAACTGTGGCTGACTAGACTGGTATCCACGCAGTGGGCTCAATAAACCCGATACCGCATTTAATTTCTGTTCTGTTCAGGCAACAAATACGTTTTGCCGCATGGATACCCCAGTCACCATTGAAAATCCTTGGAAGTATTCAAAGTGCTGTTGCTCTCGCTCTCTCTCTCTCTCTTATCTGGCGTCTTAGAAACAATAATATATGAAGTGAGTTCATTGAGCACTGCCTGAACTCCGAAGACGTGAAACTGTGAGTTCCACACACGTGAATCCCGTAAAGATAACACGACCTGGATTGCTACGACTTGCTACACAGCAGCACTTCAAGTTATGGTAACCGCTCGACACAGACTTTGACCGTTCAATACACCACGCGCCACTCACACAACGATGGACCATCTTGACGACTGTCTTCATGGCAGGGGTCCAAGTGTCGAGATGGCACAGCAAACATATTAGAGAGTGAGGCCACTCGAATAGTTTACTTAACAGAGGATTCTATTTTTTGATACTGTTTCGACAATAAACCCCGAGACAAATTACATCTCATCCTCCTGCTTGTACTACTACTACTACTACTACTACTACTACTACTACTACTACTACTACTACTACTACTACTACTACTACTACTACTACTACTACTACTACTACTACTACTACTACTACTACTACTACTACTACTACTACTACTACTACTACTACTACTACTACTACTACTACTACTACTACTACTACTATTACTACTACTACTACTACTACTACTACTACTACTACTACTACTACTACTACTACTACTACTACTACCACAGTTATAATTCAGAAGATGCGCCTGGTAAATAGGTTGTTTACCAAAAGTCACTCGTTCAGACGTCAACTAAATCAACCAAGCTTTTCGACTCTGCTTAGTTACATAACAGCAGTCCAATTCACTTGATGACAGTCGTACTCCGGTCGGAGGATGCAATCTTGTGATTTGTATGCCTTTCTTCATCTTGGTCCGTTCAGTTTGTGTGAAGAAATCAAGTCCACTATTGCTCCATTACCTTCCACACTCGAGTTTTGCGCAAGCAACTACTCACTTATCCAATAGGTAGTGTGCAGACTCCACCACACTACTACTACTACTACGACTACTACGGAAAACCGTTATGATTGATCTGTCACAGGTGAAAACGGATAGTCTTTGGGCTTGAAGAAAGCTTCGGTCTACGCCGGTGGACCCAGATCACGCCTTCGTACGTATTCGCTTCTCTTTACGTCTCGTCCGTGTTTGTACACACACCAAAGCCGCCCGTCCTGTGCAGTTGCTTCTAGACGACAGCCTACTATCTGCTTTTCAAGAAGAGCTGTCTACTCAATTATCGATGCAGCCGGATGTCCAAGACCCGGATAAATGCTGGTAACAGGTCAAGAGGACCTTGTATGCTGCTTTCATTGTCACACAAGACTCCGGCTCAAGTAGACCTCGAAATCCGTCGCTCTGTGGGATGCTGGCAGATCCGTCTCTCCAGATGCCACATTCAATGAATTGCGTAAATCACTGAAACTCCAACTGACTAGGAGCCTGAGAAATGACCGTGAGCAGTGGTGGATTGTGAAATGTAGGGAAATGGAGAAGGCTGCGTCTATTGACAATACTCGTAACCTTTATCCTTTAAGTAGAGATATCGGCCCACAAAAGTCTGGTGTAAGTAGGTTAATCAAGGAATTCGACGGCTCACTGATTCACTCTCAGAGACTTCGTCTGGGCCTTTGGGAGGAACAGTTCAGTTGGCCCTTTTCGACCGTGGAGCTTCCGAATATACCTGGCAGAGAATCGATGCAGGTGGATTTCATCCCTTCATCAGAAATGAGGTTCTATGGGAGATAGGTTACTTGAAAAGGTACAAAGCCGCTGAACCGAGTGGGTTGTCTCCATCTTTTTTCAAGCACGGAAGCGAAGCTTTGATATCGGAGTTGACATAACTGCCCTGGGTTATTTGCTATGATGAGCAGATTCCCAGGGAATAGTGTGAATCTGTGATTTTGTCGGTTTACAAGAAAGGTGACAGGTTCTCTTGTGAAAACCACAGAGGAGCTAGCTTGATAAGTATCGCGTCCAAACTGCTCCCCGAGATTATTCCCCACCGATTACCCATCGGTTGCGAGATGTGAACGCGTGAGAATCGAACAGGTTTTAGACCCGGTCGGAGTTTTATCGATCACATCTTTACTCTTCGGCAAACCTCAGAGCACAGACACATCTTCGTTGATCTGGAGGCGATATTCGACTTAGTCGACTGCATAGTTCTCTGAGGCTCTCTCTTTGAAGGGTGTGCCAGAGAAATCTATTTTTTCTTTTCCAATGCTTGTATGCAAACAGGCAAGGCCGAGTTCGTGCTTACTGCAATCTTTCAATCGAGTTCACCGCGGAAAGTGGTGTTCTTCAGGGTTGCCCTCTCTCACCCTTCCTATTCAATTTTGTAACTGAATTGATTCTTGAGATAGCCCTATCTTCGTGTGAGAACAGCAGCGTCGATCTTTGCTCAGGCAGTAAACCTAGAATATGCGGACGATACTGTTCTTCTGAGTGAAGATCCAGGTAAGTTGCAAGGTCTCTTAAATAGCTTAAGTAAAGGCGTAGCAATGTTTGTGATACGTTTTGCACCCTCAACGCGTAAAATGCTGTTGCAGGACTCGGTTGACGCTTCGCCAAATCTTACCTTTGCAGGGGAAGCTTTAGCTGAAGTAGATAAGTTTTGCTACATGGGAAGTTACATTTCACATGGCGTACAGATATCGGATGAAGTGTCACCGCCTATACAGAAGACGCGTTTGGCTTTTGCCAACCTCAACCATTTGTGGCGTCCGTGTGACATCCGGCTGTCTGCCAAGAGTCGAATGTCCAATGCGGTAGTTAGGTCCGTTCTTCTATACGGCTCAGAAACATAACCGTTAAGGGTAGATGATAGTCGAAGATAGTCGGTGTTCGAGCGTCGATGTCTCCGTAGCATTGCCCGAGTATGGTGGGAACATTGTATCAGCAGTGCTGAGGTTAGACGTAAGGTGTTAGGAACCAGCGGTCAGTCTCTGGATAAAGTACTGAATCTAAACAGGTTAAGGTGGTTGGGACATGTGTTACGCATGCTGCTCGATGGAATTCCTTGGCTTACGCCATTTTCCGAGGCGGGTAGTGGTAGGAAGGTAGGCCGAAGTGGACGATCGATGACATGGCAAAAAGGTATGGAAAACTTGACCAGTGGACTTGGCCAAGTAGGACGTGTTTGACTTCCGGGTTGGGGTTCACGTGTCTCGCCTACCAGATGTCTGGAGACATTAAGTGATATGGCTAGGTGCCGCCGCCAGTCACGTAGTTGTGTGCGAACTCTGTCATTGCCTTCATGATTTTCGCTTCCTACTGAATTGTAGTGAACTATCGCGCACAGTAAA